TCGCTCTCAGCTTCATCTTTAGCATTTTTCTTACTGGTCTCCGATCTGTGGAGGAATGACTTGTGGTACAAGATTCAAGTAGTCAGGAGAGGAAGACCTAATGACCGTCATTTACAACCTGACTGTTGCAGAGCAAATGCGAGTGCTACAATAGGTCATAGAAGAGATAATAGATAGAAAGATACAGAATACAAAGATCTAGCCAATGTTCTAAATGTTCTAAGTTGATTCATGTTTTTTACCTTTTTCCTGTTGACTTCGTGTCCCCTCTTTGCCCCCTGCTCTCCTGACCTTTTTCCCTTCTTGAGTCTGCATTTCGGCTGCTCTTTGGCCTAGGCTGCATTGAGATAATAGAAGCCCTAGTCCGGAAATAACTTCAGTGACAGCAAAGCAACATTTTCCCCATTTGTTTGATAGATCTACATCAAGGATGTAGGATGTTAGAAAATAAGCAGATGTTCAGTTGGGCTTAATTTAAACAAAATACCTTGTTCCTGCCTTCAGGGATCTCCAAAGTCTTTGTTTTCACAGTTTTATCTATTAACCTGCATAAAAGATAATAATTCAAGATATCAGTTTTTTTATTGTGTAAAAAGACAAGACACAGGTTGGAAAAAAAACTGAAAATTGGAAGTGTTTAACATTTTGCACAGAGGATTCCAAAAGAAAAACAAGCATGTGCGCCATAAGGATTATTACAGACACCCTACCCCTCGGAATCCCACGGCGTGTCCCCGAGTGCGGATCCACGTCTGTCACCCATGGCCCCTCCTCCCGCAAATGTCTCCTCAAGTTCAGCAGACATGTTGTTGTTGATATCAAAAGAGCTTGCAGAGTTTGGAAGGTCAGTTACTTTATGGCCTTTGCTTTTTAATTACCGTAAGTAAAATGTCATTATAATACCATCCTGAAAAAGGTAAATTAGCATAATTTAAAAAAATTTAAATTCTTACTTCTCACATGATGGAGGTGAATCCTGCAAAAAAATAATGAATAAAATATATATATGCATACTACGCACACACACATACTTTTATATAAGCACAGTTTGAAAAGTTCTGTAGGAACCTAAAAGCAGCAGAACCTCTCACCATTTCTGCATCACTGGCCCTTCTGCCATTCGCTGCTTCTGCCTTTATACAGCCAGTCAGCTTGTCAGAACTAAAGAGATCCAGAGATCAGACTCAGGAACTAACTGTACTGTCGTCAGCAAAAGGCTGGAGCAAAAGACTTATGACCAGTTCCAACGGAAGGGAGAAAATCATCTTCATAATACCACAGACAATGCAAATGTAACAGGTTACACTCAATGACATAATATTACTATTACTACTACTAATATCAATTGAAATTCAATCCTTTGTAAGGCATTCGCTGCTAAAGTAAACAGAATGATTTAGTCTCCTTTTTAAAATGTTGATATTATCACTCTATTTGATACACCTTACAATCATACTACTGTGCAAGTCCTGGGACACAGAAGTGATCACCGGCCATTTTAATAAACGTGAACCTGGAGACATTAACTGCATTCATAGATGTTCTGCAGGTGAAGCAGCTTCTTTTGAAAGCAACCCCAGGGTCAGACTGCAATAAAGTGTATATTTTTTGGAGCTGGGAGCAGATCGGGAAATGAATCTCAGCGGGACACTGAAATGTAACCTTAGGGCAGTGATGCGCAATGGGGGTTACTGTACAGGTCTGTCTCAGCCGACGGAAGGCAGATGGGTCCTACAGGCGCCGGTGATCTGCATGCGCAGATGTCCCATCCCTCCATGGGGGGGGGGCAGCACAGCACACCCAACAAATCACAACCAGGGCAAAATGACTTTACAGTGAGTGTACCAGAGCTCAAAGACAGGCAGAGATGCTGACCCAGACTGTCAAGTCTCATGCAGAATTCAGCCAGTAAACCAAGTTAAAATTTGGGGCGAGAAAAATAGGTCTGAACTCCACATGGAATTCCTGTTGTATGAAAAAAGACCAATGTTCCATTTGTTTAGGGACTTTCAGATGTTGGTAGAAGAACAGAGATAAAGACGACCTTCTAAATAATAATAATAATAATAATAATAATAATAAATTCATGGAGGCCTCACCTCGTGACCTTCGCCTCCTGGAGAGGCTTACGGTGCTTTTCCTGTAATAAAAGGACCAAACATCAGGACATAACGGTATAAAGGAACGACATAACAGAAGAAGCTGAAGCCAAAGCCAAACGCGCGACTGTACCTTGCTGTGCTTCTCCTTCCCCTCCAAACGTTTCTGCTTTTCCTCCGCATCTTCCTTAACCCTTTTACTGTGTGGTGAAAGCGTATGAGAATAATCCATCACCCTCCTATGCGGCGCATTAATACATATTTATTACACCATCTATAACGTGATTCCGACATGAAATCCCGAACGGCAAAAAGCAGCGTTTTACTGTAAGTCAATGTGGGTCTTACAATTAAAATAACCATATATACACGCTAAATTATAACGTGAACAAACTAACCGCATTACAAAGTTATCCTACATTTGTAACAACGGACCTGGCCGGGGGTTTCTGGTTGCTGGAGTCAGAGCTCCGCTTTTGGCCGGATTTGCCATCAGCCTTTTGGAATTTTCTTACTCCAAAGTTGGCGTCCATCACTCGTAGTTTTGTTCACAGGCACACGACGGCAGGTCTTTAACAGCCACAGAGACACAGGTAAACCAGCGCATCGTAATGAATTTCACGCCGCCTTCAAGGTCTGCACTCGTTTTAGGAGTGACATTATTATGGTGGCTATATAAAAATGAAAAGCAGTGCCTACGTGCCATCTGCAAACGGCGAAAAGCAGTTTGCCCGTTTGTAACCAGCAGAGTAGGCCTTTAACTTTATATTTAATTGACAGAGGAAAATAATAAAAAATTCTTCTAAATAGCATATCAACAGATCAACCCCGACAACAAGCTAAATCGTGGCAAGGGTTAGTTTCACTGAATCAAGGATCACAGAGATGTTCTCATCTTTATCAAAAAATATAAAAATAAAAAGAACATTAACAAGCCCAAGGGTACCTGACAAAAATGACTGAAAAAACTTTATAGCGAACTATATTCAATGTGATATAAAGTGAAGTTTATATATAAAGTGAAGTTTAAATCTAAGCGCTGCTGTTTATGTACGAGTAACATTTACCTGCATACACGATGAAAAAATGTCAGTTTTTTTCACTCACAATTATGTCCCTTTATAAACACTCTGTTTCATACGAGCCTAATTGTAGTCCTACTGCGCATGTCACCGCAGAACCGAGTAATCTAACGCGTCTGCGGAGAATCTTCAAAACGTCCGCGCAGGGGCACAGGAATTTGGTGGATGAGGGGTAGAGCCCCCAATAAATAGACCTTTGTATTTAAATTATGTTCATTGGATTAGCAAATCAGAGGCCTGTATTTTAGCCTGGTAACTTGTCGTGTTTCAGTAGTCTGGTATAAACGGATTTAATTCCGGCTAAGCAAGACATCCAGCTTCGTGATACAGGCCCCAGGAGGTTAACATAAATAGTAAAGCTAAGGATGGATAATTCTTTTAAAAAATTCAATTCTTTTAAACGCATTATAGACTGACTACTAAAATAAGACCATTTTTGGTGAAGAAATGCCCAGCTGAAGTGTATTCATGGATTTTTTCCCAGTTATAAGCATAAAGCAGGGCTTGCAGTTGAAAAGTTTTGAAAAGTGCAGGAAACACTTTTACAAAACTGGAAACACTTTATATATCTCTCTCAGTACCAACGGTATATGCCTTAAGCTGCCTGCACTTTATACACTTTATATACTGTTACTCAGTACTTAGGATGTGTTTTTTGTTGTGCTTGTGCACTTCACTGTTTGTCCTATCCTGTCATATCTTTTGTCTTGTCTGCGCATGGGACAGTGAGAAACGCAATTTCGATTCCTTTGCATGTCCAGTGCATGAGAAGGAATTGACAATAAAGCTGACTTTGACTTTGAAAAGTTTCTAAATTGTCGATTTATTGCACAGTGGACGCTGATTGAAATGGGTTGTTCTGCGTACCATGTTCTTGGTAATATACTTTACCGAGAGTAACACCTCCTGAGCCTTCCTGCCCGCTGCAAAGTAGCAAGGCGGCGTTTGCAGCACATCCTCGGTACAAAGCAGCTGCGGCCTACTTGGAATGGCAGTCTATTTTTAACCACAGCAGTATCACGCGTGCAACGTATTAGGAAAATAAAAACGCGAAACGCAGATGCTTTTAGCACTTTTTATTTGACGAACATGGCAACACATTAACCGTGGGTGGCGTGGCAGCGGGGTGGTGGGCGGGACAGGAGCACCTGACATGCGGCTCTTCCAATGGGTCTGGCCGCACAAACGGCGCCACCGTCGTCTGGCTGCAGGTCGCGGTTCATTTTCGGTTCGGTTTAAGGCTTGACTGCCTGACAACCTGAGCACAGCAGGAAGGTCCGGGCCGATGCGGGGGGGAGGGACCTCTCATCGCGAGGAGCACCTTTCCCAGTCCAAAAGGGTTCCTCAAACATGACTCTCACTGGCGGCCATCTTATTCAGCTCAGTAAATTATACTTCTCTTACATACAAGGGGTGTTCAACTCATAAATTTAAAATTTAGTGTTAAAGAAATATACAATTCAAGTAAAAATGATCAAGTAATATCTGATATGTGAATCTATGCCATAAATAAAAATTTATATCTATACTATGTATATCTGTATATAATTTTATTTAATTTTTTTTACATTTTTTAGATGAACCACATAAGGTTAAGCAATGGGATTGAAGAGTGCCCTTGTAGAATGCACCTACTTCCCAACTTCAGCATGGTCACCTGTGCAGCCTGTCCTGTGACTGAGTAGTCTTTCAATTCATCAGTACAGTGTGATTGATGTAAATAAACATCACTCATTCATTACATAAGGCATTATGATTCTCACCTTCCCCCCTCTCCCCTTTTGCCTGAACTTGTAAAGAGATTACATACCCATACATATTTGTACTTAATGGGGACTTTTAATAACTTTATTTTTTTATGGGGTGGGGGCAAGGACACATAGGCTAAACGGATCCCTTTTCATGCAACACACATTGTCCATGGACAGATTACACTAACCGGGAGCTACACCAGATGCTGCTTTGTGTGTGAATGGGTGATTAGGTTCGCAGTGCTCCGGTGCTGTGAAGTATGAATTTATTTTATGGAACTGCTGGAAGCCAAACTTTATGCCCCAAAGGGTGTCATATTCCATACAGCATGAAGCAAAAAAGTGTCCTCTGAAGGGTGAGGGTTTAAGCCTAGAAGCACAGAGAGAAGAGATGTTAGCAGGTGCGTGAAACTGAGCAATAAATCCAGAACGCACATTAGCAACGGCAAAAGCAGTGATGTTAAAGGGGGAGGTTAAAGATCCAGGTGAAAGCCTGTCCCACAAGACTATGACCTGAAAAGTCAAAATAAGCAAAGCCAAAATTTTGTGTGTGTGTGTGTCTTTAGGCAATTGATGAATTGTCGAGCTGTATAACCCAGAAAATTATATGGATGAGAAAATAAGAAAACAGAATTATAACCACTAGAGGGCAGACAACACACGTCATAAATCAACTTGTACTACGGAAGAATGAGGCCAACTTAGACAACCGACAGTGCGTCTAAAATTGAGGTCAAACACTTTTTTTGAAAGAATCCCATTTCTCTACACCAGACTGCCAACCACAATAGCTCTCTGAACCTACTCTTGCACACACATAAACAGCCAGGCAAACATGTCCTTCCTGTGAAGAACCCTAGTATGTCACCTCAGCTATTTCCCCATCCAATGGACAGAGGACCAACCTTGATGAAACAGGCCCAGGTCTTACCAGGTGTCACTCGTCTCCTTCCTCAGGCGAGATCTCCGTCTCTTTATGCACCACTACTTTGGTCACCGACATGTCAGGGTGCTGCTCCTTGGCTTCCTTAATGGCCTGAGCCAGAGCCTAACTCAGTAGAAAACATGGTTTGGGGGCCATCGTGGAAGACGAGTATGATTAGGAGCAGATCTCACATGCAAAGACAATTCATTTAACTGTGCAAAGAAATCTCCTGAATCTGTAGTCATTCTCTTCACTGTAAGACGGTCCTAACCTCGTCGTGGTCAATGTCCGCATCGCCTGTTATCACGATTCTCTTCTCGATCCTTGTTTCGGAGATGCCTCCCTTTACGGTCTGCAGACAGTGAACCGAAGGAAGGGTTTATGCCAACGCATTGCAGCAAATCAGGACCACCAAAGCTAGGCAATCCCAATTCCAGGGGAACTTAAGCCAATTCCTGGCCAAGGTCACGTGAAAGTTTGAAAGTGACTTCATCAGGTACAAACTGGCCTACACCAGGAATGAGTCACCACAGAGATAATGCCTTCAGCCAATGAACTGAAGTTGAACATAAAGCTGCACTACTAGAACCTCTCAAGTGCTTCTAGGGATCTGCCAGCACCTGGCACATGGTTCTTAGCAATTATATGTCAAAGTAGCTAAATTGGGTCGCAATCAGTTCAGTTACCCACCCACCACTTGCTGCAGACAGTGGCGCAATTTAAAAAAAAAGTCACAAACTAGTTCCAAAACTTTTAACGAGTCTATGTGACAGCTAACTCCACTGACCTTCATAATATGCGTGGTGGTGGTCGTGCTTCCTGTTTCCGATGTGATGGTCTGGCCGCTTGTCAGGACCTCCGCGCTGGTACCTCCGCTGGCCGCCTCGTCCTGCCAAACGTTTATAGAACCACAGGCTTACTCTCTGGTCGTGGTCATGCTTGTGTATGTAATCTCAACATTGATGAACCATTACACTCACCACTTACAGATTTGATGATTTAGCTCAGGGTTTCTCAACCCGGTCCTCGGGGACCACCAGACGGTCCATGTTTTTGCTCTCTCCCAATTCCCTGCCAATTGGGAGAGAGCAAAAACGTGGACCGTCTGGTGGTCCCCGAGGACCGGGTTGAGAAACCTTGATTTAGCTGGTCTTAGTGACCCTTTAATGTAGTGCAACTTGACTTTGTGAGACTGGAAAATTGCACTTATTTCCCCCTGGGATCAATAAACTATATCTTATCGTATATCTTATCGTAATAACACAAAAAAACATGTTTCAATATTCCCAAAATGTTAGGAATAAACCACGATGAGGTGTGCAGTTATATGAAAAGAATTAACGACAAACTGGTGTACTGTGGCCCGACACTAACCAAGTTGGAGTTGATTATTTTCACACCTTGAAGTGGTTTATCTCGCTTATATGACGGCTAACAAACAAAAAATAAAAATAGAATAAACCAGTTACAGATAATTTTCAGAGGGAAATTGTTTAATTTAGCATTTGATCATGTTCCAATGTGCTCTTAAAAATACTGCATAGTCCCTTTAAGACAGAAAGTCTGGTCAGGTTAGGCAAGTCAGTTGTTATAGAAATGGTCAACAGACAGACAACTGTCATGCATTTCCTGCGTTCATTCCACACGTCTTCTGTGTGTAATAAGGCTACACGTATGCAAGATGAAGTACCACCGAAAATATTGAGGGCAGTATGGCGAACTTTTATCACGCAACAATGTGTTTAAATAAGCTACACTTGATATTAACGTACAATTTCATTTTTGTTTTTTTTTTTTAGAATGAGTGGCCGGAAGATATTCATAGCAGGTTTTTTATAAAGGCAGGTGAGTCATTTTTCTGAGCACTATCGTGTGCATCGATGTACATCATATTAATGTTAGTTTAATTTTCTTCCGCTTCCTAATTTAATCTGAGCTTAGAAGCAGTGTCCATGCACAAAGTATAAGTTGAAATCAGACTTTTGCATGCCTTCATACTTATAAGGACATCATACACCGGTATAAGGTATTTTCATGACGTTGTTTTTAGTTACAGACCTGTTATTCAGAAATCTTGATGATAAAATTTGCCGACTGCGGTTGGGTTTAAGTTTTGCTAAAACATTTATACTGTCATAGGAAACAAAACTCAGCATATTTGCAATTTTAATTATTATTGCATTTTAATATTATCTAGTATATCTTTAAAAAATAGTTTAATTTAATTTACTGCCACTAGTTTTGCAGGAGCTCTGTTTGTGATTTCCGAGTCAATTATAATCATTATCATCCGTGCTGTTTAAGTCACTCATAGAAATGTTTGTGAGATATGATTTCATTTTGAACTATGCCCCAAAGCTCCGTCCGATCCTAATGTGTGCCACGCCCACCTCGTTACCTCGTGTTCATCCCTGATTGTTCTCACCTGTTGCCTGTTCCGTTTGCCTAGTCTTGTGCATTTAGTCCGTGTCTCGGTGAGTGTACGCCAGATTTGTCATTGACGTTCGTCTGTGTGCTTCCCCAGGTCCTGTTTCCCTAATTAAAACCCCATTATTTTGACTTCCTGGCTCCTTTTCCCTGCTCTGCTTGTCTTCTTGTAAATACAATACATGTCATTGAGAATTATATTTGGTAGCTCATACTAACTGGTAAGACCAGAAACGATGGTGCTGACCAAGAGGATCTCTCACATTGCCCCCTGATGGACATAACTTTTAACCCTCCAGATTGATGTAAACTATATGGGGAAGTAAGATCAGCAACACCGCTTGCAAAGTGACAGCTCACATAAGTGCACACATTGAAAGTGTTGAGTACGAACGGGCCTTACCTGTGATGTCCCGTGAGTAATCTTCGTTCTGCTCTCTGTGCAGACCTCCTGTGTATCCATGGTCTCCAACTCCTTCTTGGGTTGATGTTCTACACCGCCAAAGCTCGGAGATCCTGTCTCTGTTGCCGGGGACTGTTTCAAAGAGAGAGGTCAAGGGGATGATGATGAGCATGCTAGATGGGAATATGGAAGAGTCCTTAAAGCGCAATACTTGCAAGGTTCATTTGACCGTTTCCTACTATACTGATCTCATACATCCTCAACATCTACCTAGTGGCCGTGATTGGGAGATGATGGAGCTTCCATCAGTGTAGCCCGTCCCGCATGCTTTCATACCCTGCCCCGCCCCAGTACCTCACCGCACCTGTGTCACAGCTGTCGTCGTTGTCTGCTCCTGATGCGACCGCTGAGAGTGCACTGATGTCACGACAATTGTGTCCTGCAATCAGAAATGGAGAATCAATCATTTCAAACTGAGGATAAGGCATAAGCTACCAATGAAATAACATGGTTCACTAAACGTCCACTAAATGCACAAAGGAAATTTTTATTAATATACACTGCTGGATTTAACAATGCATGTGATGTCTTTCGTAGGGAAGGGGCTTGTGTATTGCTAACCTCGAGGAAATATAAGGAGATTTAGTACAATATCAGTCAAACTCCTGGGCATACCTGCTTTAAATGCATTTATCTATTTTAACTATCTTATTCACCTTATAGTAAAAGGCCTCAAGACAATGAAGTAAAGACATGACATACTGCAACAACCTAGAGAATTGTTCAATATCTCAAAATATTCTCAAATTTCAGACTCTTCAAAATATCCCCCTGTAACTTCAGAGACAGTGTTGCAGTCTCATGACATTCTTTCTACCGGCTTCTAGATGTAGCCACCTGTGATGCTTCTTCAACAGTCCTTAATGTCGCCACAAATTTTGGGCACAAGCTGGCCACCCTGCTCTTACTCTTTGATCCTCCTCATCCCAAACCAGCTCTATAGGGTTTAGGCCGGGGGATTGTGGGGACCAGGTCACCTGTCACAGTCCTATATCTCTTTCCTTGTCCATAAGATAATACTCACTACATAAACTCATGGAGTGCTTAGGGTCATTATCTTGTTGAAAAATAAATTAATTTTAGTAGTGTCCAGACGATTCACTGGTACTGTATATACTGTAATATATGGGCAATTATGTTCATACGTACCACATTTTGTCAGTGGGAAAAAAAAACATTTCAGACACGTTTGAGATACTGCATTTAGAAAAGCACTGCACCGCTGCAATCAGAACATGTGGAGAAGCAGAAGAGGGAACAAATTCATCATGGCAAACAGGCATGGTCCAGCTGGGTTGGGGGGGGGGTGCATAGCTTAATCAGTGTTAGTGCCTTACAGCAGGGTAGGGGCTGGTACCTTGAGAATGGTCTGACCGGGCGAGGTAGGGGCAGCCCACTCCATGGTGCCGGCTTGTTCCCGTGCAGACCGCAGCAGAGCCGTGAGCTCTGGCGACATCTCGTCAAACGTCGGCTTAGGCTGCGTGTGCAGACAGACCGGGGGGGGAATGGGGGGGATGGACAAACGGAGCAGTGAAGACAGTGGAAAGACAAAAGGAACAAGAGGCAGAGTGGGGGAGGGAGACAAAATCGACAGCGAGTGGGGGTGATAAGAGCATTGGAGAGATGGGGAGGGGAAAGAGGAACTATTCATAAGAGCGTCGGAGGGACAAGCCACCAAACGAGCCGTTGACGTCACCCTAAATTACTGAGTGCGAGTAGTACTGCCTGGGAGAGCCATAGCCCAGCTAAGGAGATCACTGAGAAGGAGAGCCACAGAAGATACCGGAATGGTGGATTCTGCTGATCAAATGTTCCTTGGCCTGCCCTTAAAAGTCAGGCCATGAGGAGGGGATACATGTAGGGAAAATGAACTGCTATGAACTTGTAGTGGCATCATTTGTAAAAAAAAAAAAAAAAAAAACCAATGACAAAACTTTCAGTAGCTCTGGACGTATTCTGTGATCTCCTTAGTTGAAGATATATCCCTCATCTCCACAAATCACCAATGATACCCAGTTACTGAGAAACACCAGGCAGTCTGGCTTCGCAGAGAACTGTAACAGACTTATCAAGATGTTAAATCCTTTGGAATAATAGTAGCTAAGCTAGTCAACAAGTGCTAAAATAGTTTTTCTGCTCCATTCATCATTTTGGGGAGACATTTATAAGCATATGGCGAGCAGGTTTGGCAACAGTTTCCAAAGTGTTACGAAATGCTATGTTTTGGTGAAGCTGAAGCAATCCCAGATCTCCGAGATCCTGCTCTTATGAATAGGGCCCATGATCGATTCCAAGCGTGTGGCAAAGAGGTAAGAGGCGTATAGCGTGAGAAGTCTGGTTGACGAGGACTAACACTGTGAGATAGCCTCGGTCTTTCTACCCAAGGTGAAAAGTTGGGTTTGTCAGAGGGGTTGGGGCACATTAAACTGATGAGCGATGAAGGACCCCATCAAATGGGCCATGTGCAAAGGAAGGCAAGCAAAGTTAGATCTGTAAAGCCTTGGGTGATACCGAAGGAGCTCCCAATCAGTCGCTAGCAAAGGTGTCATGCTATGCTCTTTCTAACTTGGCACAGTACAAGTTAGCCCGAGGTAGCTTGGGGTAGGCTGGTGTGACCTGAGGGTAGCTCATGGTAGCCCAGGGTAGCTTGCAGTAAACTGGGATAGCTTTGATTAGGTTGGGGGTCCTGGGGTGAACCGAGGCAGCCAAAGTATAAACTGGGGTAGTCAAGGGTAAATTTAGGTAGCCTGGGCCAGTTTGCGACAGCCCGTAGTAACTTGGGGTAAGTTGGGGGATCCTGTGGAAAACTGGAGCAGCCAGGGGTAGATTTGGGTAGCCTGGGATAGCTTGTGGAAGCAGTGGGATGAGAAGCAGGAGCAGAGGAAGGCTATGTTGAGAGCCGGTTGTGTTGTCTGTGCCATACCACTGCTCTAGCCGTAGGTGAGGTTTTGGTAAAGTAGCGTGGAGCGGGAATGGGCAACTCCAGCTCAACCAGAGAAGAGCCTCGAGCCTTTTCTTTCTGTGCCACATCCACCTGCAGCTTGACCTCGGGCCTTTTCGCCTCCCCCATCTCCTCGGATGGGCTGACAGCTACCATAGTCCTCACGGTCCCCACGGTAGCCTTGGTGGGCGAGGGAGTCTCGGCTCCCTTAACGGTGATCAGCACATCTTTTTCTTCTGTTGGAACCGGTCCTGGGGTCCCATAATTGGGTGACACTGGGATTATCTTGACCTGAGGGGAGAGCCTCTCGCTGGTTGGAGTGGCTGGCCCGCCATTGCTTGAGAGCGCTGTGATGGTAACCACTTTCTCCGATACCTTGCTATAGGTCTTTGCTGAAGAGGAGGTTTTAGGCTTTTTTTCTTCTTTCCGGGGAATGTCCTCAGACTCTCTGACATCATCACCCTTGTGAACTCCTTCAGCTCCTTCAGTGCTGCTTACAGTTGTAACTTTACAGGTCATTGTACTTTTCTGCTCTGCTACTTTAGCCACGTTGTTTACAATAACCCACCCATCAAACTCCTAAGTGTGAAATACAAAGAGTGTCATTAGCTGGCAGATTAAGAGATGGTCACATGACACAATGAGGCACGGTCATCAAACAGTGGTCACAACCAGGGTCTTGAGCACAATGCGTTTCACATACTGTGGCGTTTAGAATGGTTTTTGAGATCTTTTGGATGTTTTGTACTCTTATGAGGACAAAAACTTTCAAAATAATAATGACAATAATAATGCAGTGCAAAATGTAATCAGTCATTAGATTAATTAGTTCCCAAACTATTAACTAGTAATTAAGTTATTAACTAGGAACTTGATAACTATTCTTAATGAACTTAAAATCAATATTACTTCTCGCTACTATTTGTAACGGGAAGTTCCTGTATCTTGGTAACATTACATGTATCTAAAACCCTAGAAAAAGTTATCAAGTTGTGGTGGTTATTTTAGAAAGCATCATGGGACCACACTTTTGATTCACGGACACACACAGCTTTGTTAGTAACCCAAGCACAAGATGGCGGCCAACACAATAATTGTGATGTCTTCAAACCATTCTGGCTTCAAAAAGTGATTAAAAAAATCAGCTGTTCTACAGTACTGCAACTCTCGGTGCAGCCTCTTCCTCTGCTGTTTATAGAAAACAGGAAATATTAAACAATTCTTCCAGCCTTCCAGTACAGCCGTAGAGGCAGACTTTGATGGCTAACTGAATCGGATTAACGTTTTATGTGTTCACTCACCCTGAGACTGTACTTAAATGTAAATAGTGGGTAGCAGACCGATTGGGGAACATGGAGGCTCAGGGGGAGGTTGCCTAGAGAATGAAACACCCATGTCTCTCGATGGAAGTAAATGTAATGGAAAAACTTCCATTTCCATCTCATTAATCACTGATAAAATTATGCAAATTACAGGCAGGCGCTGGATTTTAGCCTCTGTGATTGAGTGTTGCTGGCTATCCTTAGGGCGACTTCTGGGTGCATTTTTAAAACATTTTGGGAATCATTCTGGGGAGATTGAAGCTGTTTCAATATTCTTACATGTCACTCATTCTTACATGTCAAAGTAAAGTAGACCTACCTTATTTCATGAACTATTTACGACTTAATTACTATTTTTTTTTTTTAATTATTTTAATAACTATTTAATTTAATGAACTATTAAATTAAATTGTTTAATATACTAGCTGTTTTTAACATGGCTTGATTCAGCTTTCAAATTTAGCCCTAAGTCAGACAAGGACAGGCAGTGCAGACGGACTCTCAAGGGAGTCCTTCCCAGCGTCCTTTGCTGCACAGCTTGGTGATGGAGACAGAGTCGCGAGTGAGCAGGATGGAGCGAGCCTCACCGTGGAGACAGTGGTGTCAAAAAGGTCCAGCTTCACATCTACACCACTGGCTTCCATCTCCCTGGTCTCCTCTTTGACCTACAACAAAAGTGTCAAGTTACAGTTTGGGTCCTACTCCATCCATTCATCCACTAAAATCCTAGTAAACTTGATACACCGCTTGTTTTGTGACTTCCTCAGTTAGAGACCTTCCACAAATATGATAATATGGTAATAAAAAATTTATTTTTTGACTAATGGGCACATTTATGACCAAATTTTGTATGCCTGACAACAAGGCACACCAGAGTGAGTAATGCTGCCGTAGCTGTACAAGAACCACATCTGAATGAGACAGCAGCAACCAAAGGCCACCACAGCATGAAGGACAGTTGTGGTCACACCTAGGCTACTGGGATCTTCGTTTAGCGTCCATTTCACTTAACGACCTGAGCCTGAAGCCTTCCATGTCATGTACGAATGACACAGCGTTAAGAACGCTTGGGGAAACTCACTCCTGGTCATTGGAATGAAACTTGATCACTTGATGCAGAGAGGATGTATTATTTTATTGATTATTTATCGTAATCACGTAGAGTTAATGAGCAGCCAGTGAGAACAGCTGTGCTGTGCAGGTTACATTATTAAATATCCATTCATCTTCCATAAATTATTATCCCATAATTTCAAATATTTGGTAGCAATTTTTGACATAATTTAACTGTGATTTTTAATAATTGAACATCTGTTTTTTTCATATTAATGTATGTACATACTAAATTATAATTAGATTAACTTTATTGATCCCAGAGGGAATTTGAAATAAAAAACTAAATATACTTCAAATATATATAAAGTGTGAATGAAGTTATTTAATGGACATGTGACAATGCAAGCGCAAGGTTCCGCTACTTCACATTTGACAAAAATAAAATGCTAATGTGGTACCATGTACCATGTATCCTTGATACTAGCCAATCAGTTTGTCCACTGTGTATGTTTCCTAGCAACCAGGTATCGGTCGGCATCAGAGCTTACGTCGTCGGGCGTGAGCGGCTCGATCATGGGTGCCTCCTCTGCCCTCGGGGACCGCACTGGGGATGTGGCCAGCCTCTTCTCCCACTCTGTCAGAATGCTGGTGTCTACGCCTGTCTCCAGAAATGTACGCCTCAGCTCTCGAATGTTGGTCTGTTGTTTCGCCTCTTCCTCCGGGGTCCTGTCTGTTTCCTGCCGTAGCAAAATGCAAAGTTAATGATTCACCACTATTCTGTTTTTAGCACAACACCCACCCTCCATAACCAACCCCAAAAACTAAAACATCAACACTACAATTAGATATCCCTAGACATCCCTGCTCAATGGGCTTTCAGATACAAATGCTGTTATCACTAAAAAAAGCACTGCATTCCCAATCCTTTGAGCTGAGGGATTTAGATTCAGATGTACCCTTGCCTTTCATGTCACTACCCGTGTTTGCACCTGAGGTATAAAGGCTTTCTTTTTGATCATGACTCTGGTGTTTTTAATCAGGCAGATGGTCGTCTATTTGAGTGCTGGTGTTTTCCATTGACAGCTCAGTGTAAGGCATATCCAGGCCGGCTTAGCACTCTGCACTAACCAGATTAATTCAGCCACCTGTGACGTGCACCTTGACCAAAATACCATGATGCCATTTATAAATCTTGTGCTCTATTTTGTGACATAAACAACAATCCACCATCTTTCCGTATGAGACTAAAACAAGGTACCTGAGTCTTCAATTCTGATAAATCCTCTTGGTCTGACTGTAATCATGAAACAGAGAGATATTAGTGACCCATTCTGAAACAGTGACCGCTGCCAGAAATTTCTGTACAACAAAGCTAGATGATCTAGTTATACATATCAACTTGATACAAGGAGAGACATCCTGCCCACTGACACTCAGAGGAGCCTCAGAGAATGCACCGCCCCCCATCGCTTCTAAACTTGACTCCTTTCTTCTGTGCAGCAGTAACTTGGCTCACAGTGAACCAGAGATTCCAGAACCTTCCATTGTAAATTACACAAGCATTTATAGAAGTTTGCAGTGAAAGCAAGCCATTCAAAATTAGTAGTTATTCTAAAATCGGCTTTTAAAGGTGCTTGCATGTGGCAGTTGAGACCGAGCTCCAATGACACGCTGCGGTGAATTGAGACCGTACCACATTCAATGGTGCACACGCGTGATTGAGCTCGCCATGGAAACAGCAGGTGTTTCTCATGCCAGAAGGAGCGGGATTTATACATTTAAAACTCGTCTCTCTGAATGCAACCTAATGTCTCAAGTATGATAAATGCTCATGTCTCAGCATGCGATTCAGAGCCTTTGGAAAAAAATTAAAAAGAAACCATCAACCAACTTTTCAGCATGAAACAAAGGGGGTTTTATTTCATCGCTGATACAGTCGTGGTATTTTAAAGGGATCTGACAGGATTCAACATGTATATAATATATATGATACGATGAGGTAATTGAGTCCAAAAAATGTGAAAACTCAGAAAGTGACAGATTTGGACTGAGAGACATGTTACATACATGCAGTGGCAGCCAAAGCCCACATGGTGCCAGTTTCACAGCTGGCACCTTCCGCCAGTGGTGGGGGGGGGGACAGTTGCTCATGTTGCCCTCGCCAAGATCCGCCCCATGTAACATGGAACATGCTCCCAACACGCGGCAGCCCTCACCTCCGTGGCCGTCTCGCCATCCACGATGGTGTCCGTCCACTCACTGTTGTTCTTCTCAGTCCATCGAGGCAGGAGGAGGGAAAACAGAGGGACCCCATCTTTAATCAGTGCTTTGGCTTGGGGACTCAAGTGTCACAAGTGGTGATCATCCATCCATCCATCCATCCATCCATCCATCCATCTGCTTACTCACAGCTGATACATTCTTGACCTGATGCCAGTTAATCACAGGACACACACACACTTGCTCGCACACACACACGTTAAGGCCAATTTGATCACCCCACAGAGCCTGTAGCCCACAAGTATGGGCTACAGGCTACAAGCTACTCACTGATGGTTTGAACGTAGCAGACTATTGCAGTCCTTGCTTTGTGATAATGGCACTTGCATGAAATGCCACGTCGACATTAACATTGCACATCGTGCAAGCCTGGTGCGCTGCTTTGTGTGTGTAGTTTGCATGTTCACCCTGTGTGACCGAGTGTTGTGCACCCTGCAAAGGCTGGCTGATTCCTGCCTCGTGCTAATCGTATCGTATCATATCCTATCATATCATATCATTTATAAACGATTACTAGATGAATCGTCAAATTAATCCATAGGTTACTCGATATAACCAATAGTAACAGCCCTAGTAATACTGTGAAAATGCACTATTTAAATAACTTTGAATTGAATTGAATTTAACTGTAACAAGCTGGGAGAGTGTTTAGAGCAGGGGTGGGCAATTTGATCCGCAATGGGCCAGTGTGTATTCAGGTTTTTGGGAGAACCTGTAGGTCAGCTGTTCAAACCCAGGCGTGAGGACTCTTCCGCCCATCAGTCCTCTAATTAGTAATCTAATTAGGGAGTTGCAGCGAAAACCCGCATACACACCGGCCCTTTGCAGATAAGATTGCGCACCCCTGGTTTAGAGGGAGAATTTCCAGAAATGTATAATTTTGCAAAATAATGGAAATAATGTGAAATATGAAATTAGATGATCTGTTTCTCAACATGAGTTTTTTGACCTTTTAATCAGTCAGCAAAAATGTGCTACTGATTCAGGAATTGAGGACGGCCTGTGGGTAAAGTGATGGAAGAGACAGACACGGTGCAGTCGCTGACGGCATGGATTCAAAAAGGTGTCCAGCGGGTCCCTGAAGGTCATGCTCTTCATCCCTTGTGGCCGGCACAGGGGAGCCATGTTTTCACTGGTCAATCGGTCACCTCTGACAGGGGGGGGGCATGACGGCCGGTTAATATCTTCCGTGAGTTTCCACATGCTGTTTATCACACCACAGCCCGTACATCAAGCTGACAGCATTAGTGCCACCATTAAATTAAACCCTAATTAACACAATGTGAGATGCGTTTCCCACCATGTACAGAAAGGAGGGCGGAGAGGCTTTTTCCCCAACAAATACACAAATTATGCACTGCATTCCTTAAAAAATCTAAACACTTCACGGACTTGCAGAGGGGTATAAATTATGAATGCTCGCCTCAAGCAGTGCATTGTCTCTGTATTTTCATGTTTATCTGGCAGCAGTGGCACAGAATGGAAGGCATTCAGATTAAAATGTAAATGACTTGTGCCAAGATGGCACAGTGACTCACCGGGCTGCACTGTAGCCTCATACCTCCAGGGTACGCCATTGTTTACCTGGAATTTGCATTTTCGCAGAGCACTCCTGTGGCAACTCTAGTTTCCTCCCGAAGATGTGGCGAAGTACACTGGTGTCTCTAAGCTGCCCAAAGTGTATGTCCTATGATAGATGCACATCCAGCTAAAGGGCTCCCCTGTGTTTCCTGCTATACATTCACATTTCTTTTTATTTAGCAGACCCTTTTATCCAAAGCGATATACATTTCTGAAAGAGAGCCGGGTCAGACAGTCCCTGGAGCCATTTGGGGTTAAGAGTCCTGCTCAAGGGCCCCACAGTGACATCACTCTGCGGATCCCAGCCCACTGAGCTGCATGTCACGCCCTCTTCACCAGAGGTGGGAAGTACAAATACTTCATTACTGTACTTAAATAGAATTTGAGTATCTGTACTTTACTTTATTTATTTCTGTGTAAACTTTTAACTTTTACTACGTACATTTTAGCATGAATATCTAAAACCAGGCGGCAACTCGGTGGGAAAAGATATCGTGATTGCAGTGGAAGAAAGCAGCTCATTTGAAAGATGCTGTGAGTCAAGGTGAGACCTCTCATTCTTCAGAGGAGGACCATGACTTCTTTTCTGTAATAACTCAGAACCCCAGTTCCCAAGAAAGGGCCAAACAGCTGGAGATTTACTTGGGATGCCCAGGTGATGCAATGAAGATACTCAAGTCTTTCCTGACAATATTCAACCCGTCATTGAGGCTTAACACTCCACTACCAGCCTCAGCTACGTGCGAGAAACTGTTCAGCACTGCCGGACTGATATTCACACCGAAAAGGGCATGCGTTGATTCCAAGAACTTTGAAAATCAGCGTCTTTTGAAGCTAAACAGAGGGTTCTGGTGGACCTATGGTGCGTGCCTCAGTTCTTCTGGCTTACACAAACATCTAATATATTTGCATACAAATAAAGTTTTTTGAACACCATGCACATTGAGTTTGTAATCCCTCAATCTTATATAGTACTATAATATTTTTTGCATGATATGTTTAGGAAAAAGGCAATCATCATGTATAATGATGGTTATGGCCAATGGAGCTTTAAGTATATATCTGGCTTTATTTTTCTCTGCTTGAGTTCTACATGGAGTCCAGTCAGCTTTGCCCTAAAATGGTGGTTTTGTCCTTAGCAAGGGTACTTTATACTTTTATACTTTAAGTATGTTTTAGAGCCTGTACTTTTCACTTTAACCTGAGTAAAAGTCAATACTTCAACTTTTACTAGAGTATTTCTAAAAACATGCATCTATACTTCTACTTGAGTGAAGAATGCATGTGCTTTTGACGCCTCTGCTCTTCACACTCCTATACCAGATAAGTGATTTTGTCGGATGGATGGATGATAAGCATTAGCAGTGTGTTTCCTGCCTGAAATAGAGGGAGGCGTAAATAAAGGTGCTCAGAAGTTTGCGAGCGATTGAAAAAACTGCAGTGTCACAGCGGAGAGGATTTGCTACTGAATTCCAAAGGACGATCAGGGTTTTTCTGCAGCTGGCAATGACGTCAAGCAAGCTGGCACAGCTCTTCACGACACCAAAATGGGCCGTCGTCCTAAACTCCCACCTACTCCAAGTCCATCATCACCACGTAATTCTTACAAACAGCCAAAATCAGAATCCCCAGCGGATTCCTGAAGGATCTACCTTTGCCTCTAGATGGACTGGTGTGAGTGGGATTGGCTCCGACGCTTCCGTGGTCACAGTCTTCTCCTCTTCCTCAATCATCTCCTCCTTCACCACCTTCTCCGGCGTCACAGTGGCCACGACGGTGGGTGTCGCCTTAGCGGGTGTGCGGGGGGCGGGGCTTGGCTTCGGGGTGATCTTTGGTTCCTTCATTAGGATTTCATTGCTCTCACACACGGGGGCTACATCACAAAGAGATAGTTGAGCAGTGATGATGGCATGACTCATCAACATTCATTTATAAGCTTCTTAATTTAAAAAAAAATAAAATAACACAGCTTTAAGCATAAATAAGGAGAGTATACTATATATAACATAACAGAGAAAAACTTACATTTAATGTACTAATTAACCTGCATCTCATGCTGATCACATGGTCCCGTTGTTAAATCTCCACAAGTGGTCAGTCATGTTATTAACAGTATAGCCTTAAAGTCTGATTTCAGGCTGACGTAACACGCAGTCATTCCAGTGCTCTGGTTTAGACTGAACAGAGAAATGCCTTCGGATTTCTTCAGAAAAATAACCGCATTGGTGTCAATTATGATTACAATTACAACTAGAATGACACTAAAAAATCCTATAGTCTAACACATTTGGCATACCTTGGCAGGCATAAATGGAATTCCAAAGTGACAATCCAACACGTGCTTTAATGCACGGGCTTACCCGGGGGCTTCCACAACAAAAGGGGCCTCAATCTTACTTAATAAAATGTAAACACCCCAGTCAATCACTTTCTCTGTAGCCAAACCTCCCATACTGACAGTCAACAACTATGGCATCGTGGAAAGAAGTAAAGGGGCCTCTGACCATGTTAATATGCCTCTGGCAGTAAAACAGGACACGCGAGAAGCACCTTGCAACAGCCAAATGTCGAGTAGGAGGGGCAATGTGGGAGGGGTTTATAACTGTTACCGCAACCCTAACCCTCTTTATAAATCCCTCCTACCCCTCGTGATAAACCCCTCCCACTCGACATTGCCCCTCCCACTCGACATTGCCCCTCCCACTTGATACTCGACACCCGGCTGCAGCGATATATACTTGGGACACGCGCACATGCCACCCGCCCCCGCCGGCCTCTCATATCACTCTGAGATGTTTTAATAATGCAGCACCACCTAGACAGCCTTGGGTTAGCTGCATAAGCAGAAGGGGTAACCAGTGGCATTGCTTAGATGACTTCTGCTCTGGAGATGCTTGACATAGACGACGTTTGAAGTTCTTTGATGGCCAAAGCCCTCAAGTTATGCCCTCACCATGTCCGACATCAAAGCCCGAATCAGTGAAGAGACGCAATCCATTACATTACATTACATTATCCTCTCCTTTACTCCATAATGTTACGGCATCTTGTTACTGATTGGGTATGAAATCAGCCTATCAAGTTCAGTTTTACTGTCACGTCTACAAAGTATATCATTTAAGCTGTAATGTCAATAAATACGACACAATAACAGGCTGCATGTATAATTTTTTTTTTTTTTTATGGTGTTTTCCCCCTGTGATAATGACATTTACTGTCATAAGAACATAAGAACATAAGAACTATACAAACGAGAGGAGGCCATTCGGCCCATCGAGCTCGCTTGGGGAGAACTTAACTAATAGCTCAGAGTTGTTAAACTCTAGCTCTGATTTAAAGGAACCCAAGGATTCAGCTTGCACTACGTTATTAGGAAGACTATTCCATACTCTGACTACACGCTGTGTAAAGAAGT